AGGTGCCTCCTTTTGAGACTGGTACAGAGACCGACAAGCGATGTGGAAAACATTTGCTTTCAAATGTTTTCATCATCCTTCATGACTCGCGCGTGGAGTACCAGGAGCAGGGGACTCGAGGGTCCAGAACCCTGCGCCCGAGCTCTCGCGAGATCTCCGTCCAGCGCTTCGCAGCGTCATCCCCTTCGGCAGCCGTGGCTGCGACGGCGACGGCGCGGAGAATACTCACAGGGGCGGCCCGTATCCCTCCGCCGTCCGTGCGGCCCGGCCCTCCTTCTCTGGCCCGCCAATCCCCGCGCCTCCCGACCTGCCCCTCGGCCTGGGCCCACCCCGCGTTTCAGCGGCCCCACCCCGGCGGCGCCGCCCGCCCGCGCGTCCCTTGGTCCACCTGCATTAGGCAGGAAGGCAGGCAGTTCCTCCGGCTGTCTGACCGAGAGACGCCTGCCGAGCCGGAGTGTCGGGCTCTTGCTTCCCGGCGGAGGGATCCGCGGCGAATGAGGAGGTGGCGCTGAGACTTGGAGGAAGAGTCAGCTACGGCGGCGGCGGCGGTGGCGGCTGGGGCGGCAGCGCATAAAGGGGCCGCCGCCGGGTGATGCGGTGACCGCTGCGGCAGCCCCAGAAGCGGAGTGGGCCCCGGCCCTCAGCCCATCCCGTCGGACCCACGCTCCCGAAATCCTCCTCCTCTTCGGTCGACCCGCGACCGCCGAGGCGGCCTCAGGCCTCCTCGTCCCTTCCCCGTCCCTCCCCCGCCCCCGTCCCCGCCCCGGGGGCCACCGCCACCGCCTCCCACCATGGCTCTGAAGAGAATCCATAAGGTAAGCGGTCGGAGGTCTGCCGCGGGGATGGGCCGCTGGGCGGGTTAGCTGGCCAGGCTTCGGCCTTCATTTCCCGCCGTGGCCTCCGCTGGGCTCGCAGCCTCTGGTTCCCGCTGCTGGCGCTGTCCCGGCGGGGCGGCCTTCACACCCCACTCCCAGTGATGGCGCCCGCAGAGGCCCGGGCGCGCGGCCCGCGCTTAGGCCGGAGGTGCTCTCGTCCTCTGTGTGCTTCCCGGCCGTCTTTCCAGGCCCGCGTGGTATGTAGTAAAGGGCCTTTCTCCAGCTGGAGGACCATTGTCCGGCCAGGCCGGGGCCATTGGTGGGGAGGGTGGTGGTGGTGGTGTTGGGGCGTTGGGCCGCAGGATCAACAGAGGTCGAAAGGGCCTGGCGCCCCGTCGTTGCCTCCCTCCCTTTCCCCACCGGCACTGGCTCCCTTCGTACAGCTGCTGAGCTCTGGGCTCTGTCCCGGGCAGACGGAGAAATCCGTTTTGCTCGATCCACAACTATTTCTTGAGTGCACTTCCCTTTTGGGCGGCTGCACACTTGGGTTCACCTTTCTCGTCTAGAAAGTGCTACAGTAGGAAGTTCAGAAGGAAGAAAATGCAACTTACAAGCGAGGAGGGAAGTAAGCGCTTTATTCCTTGAGGTTGACATATATAGTCGGAAACTAGCACTTCAGTTTTGCAAGATTACATCTAGTGAGAAAAGCTGTTTAATTGGCAAGGGTAGAAGAAGCTAGTCAGCTCAGAAACAGAACATTGAAGATCACTGGAGAAACTACACAGTTTTCTTTCACAGTCTCTTCATAAACTGAATTTAACGGTGAAATTAGGTGCTGTTTTCAGGGAGACCCTTTAAAATTTAGAAAAGGTTTTACTCGATTTTTGACTGGAAAGAATGTTTCCTCTTTAAAAATTTAAGTTATTGGTAAGGCGGTTTTCTTAATACCACAACTAGAGTATGGGCTTTGCTTAAAATTTAGGGTTCTTTTGCTCTCTTTTGTAACCTCTTAGTGCCACTTACTATGGTTTTTTTTCCCCCTTTGGAAATGAGCAGGCACCACTGGTTATTTTTACTTGGTGTTTCATTTGGCTTCTCAGATTGACTATATTAAACCTTCAGCTGCTTAGTGAGAAGTAGGTCCTAGGATTAGCCATCTTGAACGTTTAGATGGGGGATACAAGAGAAAGAGAACCAGTTTTCACTTTGTTATAAAAGGTTGGAATCCAGAATGTTTGACAATTTAAACACCTCAGCTCTGCAGTTGGTCCTCAATTAATATGTTATTTTCTTTAATGTGGAATTAATTCCATCTCTTACTATAAACTAGTTTCTTACTAACTTTTTTGACTTCCAGTTCTTACAAATGATAATAGGTCAGCTTTATACAGTAATCGTGTACTAAAATGGAGCAAGGTTTGCTAAAAAGAAAGTATGAAATGTTCAAGACAAGATTCTTAGAGAACTAGTTAAGGGGCAGGAGCACATTGAAGGTTATCATCCAAGTAAAAAATTTAAACACCTCAGCTCTGCAGTTGGTCCTCAATTAATATGTTATTTTCTTTAATGTGGAATTAATTCCATCTCTTACTATAAACTAGTTTCTTACTAACTTCTTTTGACTTCAGTTTCTTACAAATGATAATAGGTAGACTTTATACAGTAAATCGTGTACTAAAATGGAGCAAGGTATTTGCTAAAAAGAAGTATGAATGTTAAGCAAAGATCTCTTAGAGAACTAGTTAAGGGGCAGGAGCACATTGAAGGTTAATCATCCAAGTAAAATACATATGTATTTTAAAGATTCTCAGGAATTAAGTCCTTATAGAGCCTAATTGGGAAGTTATCAAATTGAGATGCCACTTGGTTTATACCTGCAGAATATTGTGCTCTTACCTTAAAACCTGGAGAGGAGCAAGTGTGATACTTTACATGTCAAGACTTGCAGCTTTTAATGTCTACATTGATTAATACATTGTTGTAGAGATTTCTTCAGAGAGGGAAGTAGCACTTTGACTCCAAACATAATTTTAATCTTCTAATAATATTTGCCTCCAAAATTATGGGGTTTTTGTTCTGTTCTTTTTTTGAGACAGGGTCTCACTTTGTAGTGCAGGTTGGCCTCCACCTCATGATCCTCCTACCTTTGTGTTCTGAGTGCTAGGATTTGGTTGTATACCACCACATCTGACTCCCTAAAAAATTTTGTTTCCATACTGGGGACTGAACACAGGTTCAATTGCTAGGCAAGCACTCTACCTCTGAGCTAAATTTTAATAAGGAAACAAAGTTTAGGGTTGGTGAAATGACTCAAGTGGTAGAGTGCCTGCCTAGCAAGCATGAGGCCTGGAATTCAAACTCCAGTACCACCAAAAAAAAAAAAAGAAAACCAAGTTTAGAAATGGTAACTTGAGCTTTTAACACTTGTTACACTCTTCCCCCTTGATTTATAACCTAGAGCCTTCCTCAAAAGATGGCTTAATATCCTTGAGACTGCCAGAGATAAGAAAAGGTGAAATTTATTTCTGGTGTACAAGTCAAAAAGATTGTGAAAGCAACATGGAGGTCAGTTTTTTAAACTTTTTGTTATGATACCCATTTTAGGTCGAATGGCAAGCTTACTGGCTACAGATGAGTCCAGTCCTATTTTATCCTCAGTCCAATGTGCCTACAGTGGAATCCCCAGAAGACTAGTTTGACTTATATAATCGATCTTGGTCTTAAACCTTTCAGATTATCATTCTCTGAAAAAAAAAAAACAATAGTTCTACTTAAACCCTTTCATCTTTAGATGTCGTGAACTGTTGCATCTGGGTTCTAACAATATTTCTAAGAAAAATCACATTTGACATAGGCATTTTTAGGAATTCAATGTCTTGTTTTTTTGGCAAAGAAACACTGTCTGAATTTGGTGTTTTTCTTTTTTTTTTTTTTTTTTTTTTGGTTGGTGGTGTTGGGGATCAAACCCAGGGCCTCACACCTGCCAAACAAGTGTTCTGAGCTACACCCCAACCCTGAATTTGGCAGTCTTTTATATGCCATGTATTTTTTGGAAAAGTTTTTGGTGGGATTTATTTAGATATGTATCTTAAGGTCTCCTGACCTGTGCTTTAAGCAGAGTGTATTAAAGGGTTATTATGAACATACAGTATAGTTTGGCAGGGATAAGGATCCTCTGGAATTATTATTTTGTATCTGCAACAAATGACCTTAGTTTGCTATGTTTTGATGTTTACTACTGACTATAGGTCTTCAGTTTTGATTTTGATGCTTTCAGTGCTTGCCTCTAGCAATACCGCCACCCCCATCTCTTTTCTAGTCCGCTGCATCTCATCTGTTGTGGGCTAAGAAACCAGATCACAGAGCTTATTAAAATTGTGTCTAAAATAAAGATCCAGTAGGCTCTGAATGAAGAGGACTTCATGTGTTCTGTGAACTGTGTGACCTCTTAGGCTGATCAGAGAACTTTTTGACTTCCTGTTTTTTCCTTTAGTTATGTACATGCAGGTGCCACAATATTGAAAAGACAGGGTTAATGTCTCTATTATTGGGAAGGGTAAAGCCTGAATATCTTGATTCTTTGAGAAGTTGAAGACTGATCAGATAGTATACTGAAAGCTCTTTTTTTTAACCCTAATAATGCCTTGTACATTTTAATGGTGTCCTACTGGTTATAATTAACATTTGGTATACATAGCTTTAAAACAAAGTAATGCCAGGATCATCACTTGATCTATTCTAAGCCTGGCGCTGGTGGCACACAACTGTAATCTTAGCTACTTGGGAGCCTGAGATCAGGAGGATCATGGTTGAAGGCCAG